CCAGCGTCCTCATCCCTGGCGCAGTCGATGGTGACGCCCTTGCGCAGCGTCTGGCCCTGCGACAGCGTGGAGGTCAGGTAGGACGCGTGCGTCAGCGTGAATCCCGAGCGGCGCACAGTGTGCGCCCCCGAGCTCTGCCACGTGAGCTCCTGCTCGCTGGGCCTGAACATGAGCAAGCTCCTCGCCCGCGCCTGGGCCTCGCCGTCGTCGTCAGCGCCCTCGGTGCCCTGCAGCAGCACCTCGGCGACCTCCTTGTAGATCGGGGACTCCTGGAAGCCGTGCGCATGCAGCCAGATTCCCTGCGGTAGGAAGCGGGGGCGGAAGAGCTGGCCCGGCGCGCGCTCCTCGTAGTCCCGCTCGTCGTCTGCGTGAAACTCGAAGGACACGATGGTGGCCCGTTGCTCCTGCACGAGCCCCAACTGCTTCTTCAGCTCCTCCTGCACGGCCGTGAACCGGACCTCCATGCCGACGTGTGCCGGTAAGACGCCGTGGATGTCCCCCGTCTTGTGCATGTTCGGGACGTTCAGGAGGCGCCGGCCTGCGTCTGGTTCGCCTTGAATCGTGCCGCACTCGTCTACGGCCTGCAGGAAAACGAGGGGGACGCCGAGGCGTTTCGTGAGGGTTTTCCATCGAGCGCCCGCGCCAGGCTCAGCTCCGTTTCCGGCCAACGCGATTCCTCCCCCGACGCCCGAGAAAAAAATTGCGTTAGTGACCCCTTAGTCCATTGAAACATCGGTGTTAGGCAAAGGGGGGGTCAGAAAAAAACTGGAGAGGGGATCTTTTCAAGTTCCCTCTCCAGTTGGAACGCGCGGGAAAGTGAACCTTTGCAAGTTCCCTTTCCCGCTGCTGGAGAGGGAACCTTTTCAAGTTCCCTCTCCAGTTGGAACGCGCGGGGAAGTGAACCTTTGCAAGTTCCCTTTCCCGCTGCTGGAGAGTGAACCTTTGCAAGTTCCCTCTCCAAGGGAAAGTGAACCTTTTCAAGTTCCCTTTCCCGCGAATGAAGGGTGAACCTTTTCAAGTTCCCCCTTCACTCCGACGACAAGGGGGGACAGGGAACCTTTGCAAGTTCCCTCTCCCGCAGCTAGAGACGTCGAACCTTTTCAAGTTCCCTCTCCAGCCCAATCCTGCCACGAACGGGAAAGTGAACCTTTTCAAGTTCCCTCTCCCGCAGCTAGAGAGTGAACCTTTTCAAGTTCCCTCCCCAGCCCAAACGAACGCGGGAGAGTGAACCTTTTCAAGTTCCCTCTCCCGCCGACGACGACAAGGTTGGCCAGCAATTGGACGTGGGCAAGTCGAAAGAGAATATTCAGGCCGCAGGAGCGAGTTCCCTTTCGATCCTCCAAGTGACGACAAGAGACGGTCCTCAGACGGGACTACCCGCACCGCCCACAGACAAAGCTCCCGCTTGATACTTCCCCCTTGTTCAGGCCGCAGGAACTGAGGAGCCTAAAAAGCTCGCTCGGATGACCCGCTCGGGTTCGAACATGAAGTGCGTGCCCCACAGGGATGGAGCGCCCGCCTGATACTTCTCCCATATTCAGGCCTCAGGAGCCCAAAAGCGACGACAGTTACAGGATTCCGATGGCCCGCCTCGGATTAGTAACATGATCTGGGGGCCCCATAGGGAGGAGACCCCCGCCTGAGACTTCCTCGCGATTCACTCACAGACGAGGCTCCCGCCTGATACATCCTCCAAATTCACGCCCCAGGAGCCCAAAAGTGACGACAGTTACAGGATCCCGATGACCCGCCTCGGATTGGTAAGATGATCTGCGGGCCCCATAGAGAGAGGCTCCCGCCTGAGACTTCCTCGCAATTCACTCACAGACAACGCTCCCGCCTGATACTTCCTCCAAATTCACGCCCCAGGAGCCCAAAAGTGACGACAGTTACAGGATCCCAATGACCCGCCTCGGATTAGTAAGATGATCTGCGGGCCCCATAGGGAGAGGCTCCCGCCTGAGACTTCCTCGCAATTCACTCACAGACGACGCTCCCGCCTGATACTTCCTCCAACTTCACGCCCCAGGAGCCCAAAAGTCACGACAGTTACAGGATCCCGATGACCCGCCTCGGATTAGTAAGATGATCTGCGGGCCCCATAGGGAGAAGCTCCCGCCTGAGACTTCCTCGCAATTCACTCACAGACGACGCTCCCGCCTGATACTTCCTCCAGATTCACGCCCCAGGAGCCCAAAAGTGACGACAGTTACAGGATCCCGATGACCCGCCTCGGATTAGTAAGATGATCTGCGGGCCCCATAGGGAGAGGCTCCCGCCTGAGACTTCCTCGCAATTCACTCACAGACGACGCTCCCGCCTGATACTTCCTCCAAATTCACGCCCCAGGAGCCCAAAAGTGACGACAGTTACAGGATCCCGATGACCCGCCTCGGATTAGTAAGATGATCTGCGGGCCCCATAGGGAGAGGCTCCCGCCTGAGACTTCCTCGCAATTCACTCACAGACGACGCTCCCGCTTGATACTCGAGTGAGTGACGGACTGACTGAGTGATGTGTGACGCCAACGGATGATATCCTCATGTGATGATCATGATCATGAGTGAGTGAGTGAGTGAGTGAGTGAGTGAGCGATCGAGTGGTGTATGGGTAAGTGTGATGGTGCTGAGGAGGAGAGGCGTGGGTCATGATGATGATGACTGATGATGATGATGGCGAGAAAGAGGAAGAGAGAGAGAGAGAGGGTGTGAGATCCTGCGCGGGGGGTGTGCAGAGAAAACAAGAACCCCATTTTGGATGTGGGGAACAAGAACCCCACTTTGGATGTGGGGAAAAACATCCGAAGTGATTCCACATTCGGTGCCGATTCGTTTGTTTCTTTGGCCTCAGAAGCCCCCCCCACTTCGGAGCGTCGCTGTTTTCAGGAAGGATCCAGCGGGAGCCTCGTGTCTGCTTTGAGAAGGCGATGTTGCAAGCAGAACCAGCGGGTGCTCTCCATCAGTCCCGCCTTGTGGGGAGCTTTTCGGGGAGCCCAGGGAACTAAACATGGAGCCGCGACTCCAGACTGGCCCAGACCTTTCAAAGACGATCCATGTACCCTCCAAGAAACCCGGCGCCATGCAGTGACATGCTGTGCGGTGTTGTGTTCTGCAATTCTGTGCGATGCCATGGTTTGCGTTGCGATGCTTTACGATGTAATGCTTCACTGCGCAATGCCACGCAATGCGATGGCATGCTTCGCTCTGCCGTGCTCTTCTACGCCATGCCATGCCGTGCTCTACCATGCATCGCGTGCCTTCTCGCGATCATTGCCATGCTCGACATCCGACTGTGCGAATAAAGAGGATATCTACGCCATGGTAAGGGATGGGAGGGGGGTTAGGACGTCAGATATGACGCAAGCGCACCGGGTTTGTCCCCCTCCTGCTCCTGCTCCTGCAACTGCAACTGCAACTGCTCCTCCTCCTCCTCCTCCTCCGCCGCCGCCGCCGCCTCCTCTTTGTCCGTGTTCCCCTCCTCCTCCTCCTGATCTTGCAACTATTGCTCCTCCTCCCCCTCCCCCTCCTCCTCCTCCTCCCCCTCCTCCTCCTCCTCCTCCTCCTCCTCCTCCTCCTCCTCCTTCTCCCCCTCCTCTTCCATAATTACACAATATGAATACTACTCTCCCTCTCCCCCGGTGGCGTCTGGGAAATGTTCGGCCCCCCTCTGCGTGTTGGCGTTTTACACCGGATTCCCGGCAAACGGGTTTTCGGTTCGGTTGTTTTTTCCAAAAAGCTGCTCTCGCTGCAGCGTTAGCCTCATGCTCGGGCTACCGCTCGTTCCGAATCGTGCTCCCGCTGCAGCACTGGCCTCATTTCCGCGCGTCCGCTCGTTCCGAATCGTGCTCCCGCGGCAGCGTTGGCGTCATTATTTCCAGCGCCATGTCACGGCATGGTTTTCGGTCCTTCCAAAGAGGCCCCAAAATATAAGAAATGGCGCCCCGAAACAACCATCGGAAGTGATTATTCACTCGGCATCGATTCGCTATTTTTTTGGACCGCGGAAGCCCCCCCCCCACTTTTGGACGTCGCCACGCCATGCTATGTCAGGCTACGCGTTGATCTTCAACACTTTGCTATGCCATGGAATGCTTTTCCCTGCTACGACGTCCGAGCGTGCGAATAGAGAGATATACGCCATGGTAAGGGATGGGAGGGAGGGGTAGGACGTCAGATATGACGCGAGCGCACATTGTTTGTCCTTCCCCCCTTCCGTCCTCACCAATTGTTCCTCTCTTCCGCCCCCTGCCCTTCCGGCGAACATCACAACTGCTTGCGAACACCGCAGCGTGGTTGTGAGCACCGCGCTGCGCGAGGGACCACCAAGCGGCGAGTTAAGCTGGGCGTTGCCAGCATCGCAACAGCTTGCGAACACCACGTGAACTCGCCGCCGTATGCCAGAGGCCGTCAAACACATGTCGTGAGTTGGCGGGGGCGGGTGAGGTTCTAGTTGTTGACGCCGAAGGTCAGATCCACCATCTGATGCTTTCATGAAAGAGTTGTTTTGTCGTATTGAACCGTCGGCGCTGAAAGTTTGCAGTTTTTTAACACGAGCGCTCATGCGGCACGCCTTCATCTGAGTGCCGTCGGAAAGAAATGAAAGCCATACTCCGTTTGATGCGTTTTCCCCTCGGGCCTCGGGGGGTTGTCCGTGGTGAATCGGAGCAATCGGAGCAGGGACGGGGGGAGGACGAAGGACGAGACGACGGCGACGACGACGACGACGGCGACGGCGACGGCAACGGCGACGGCGACGGCGACGGCGACGGCGATGGCGACGGCGACGGCGACTGCGACCGCGACTGCGACGGCGACGACGACGGCGGCGGCGGCGACGACGACACGACGACGACGACGACGACGACGACGACGACGACGACGATGACGACGACGACGACGACGACGACGACGACGACGACGACGACGACGACGAGGTGCGCCCCGCGAGAAGCGCATCGCGAGGTCCCGCGGCGGGGGGAGCGCCGCCCGCCCTTGCCGGAGGCATCGTTGGCCTCTACGCGCTCGCGCGGCAGCGGTCGGTGCATCCCTTCGTGCGCACGGTCGGCATGCAGGTGAGGGGCGGGGGTCGGGCCGCAAGGTCGTGGGCGAACAAGTATCCGCATCCGCGGCCTCGCGGGCGAGGCCCCTGGGCCGCGACCCCGCGGATGCGGGGCGTTTTTTCGAGGATGCTTCGCGTGGAACGTTTCTTTGCGACAGCGTGTCCGCGGGATCGCGCCCCAAATTCCAGACCGCGAGGGCGCAGATTCGGATATGTTCGCTGTTGTGTTTCAACAGCTTGTTTTTCCGTTTCGGCCCCCAGGGGCCGTCTTTGGGGCCCCCATGGCCATCAGAAATGGGGCAAGGGCAGTAGGAGCGGGGAGGGGGTGGAGGGCGATGGCGGAGTGGGAGGAGGAGGAGGAGGTGTCTTGTTTTTCCCTTTCTCCCCTCCTCCGCTTGAGCCAGACAGCGTGCTCTGCAGCCCTTTGGGCTTTAGGGGCACTCGCGTGCCCAGCGACTGTTTTACCGTTTGTACTCGGGGAGTGCTCGAAAGATATCCACATGCACATGTGAACGCTGCGTCTCCCATGCCAGCGGACAATGGTGGCGGAGCGTGGACGAGGCCACAGGGGAGCATGACGCTGGTGGAGACTGGCAGGAGCTCACTTCTGGGGGTGCGAGCGCGGGTCAGAGTCAATCACGGCACGCGAGTCCCATGATGTACCCCGCTGGGTACTGAACAATTCAACGGTAAGGATCCCTGGAAGCCAGCCGATCAGGCCGCAGCCAGTCGAACCGAGAGCTGGTGGGCCCAGGAGGGCTGGAGAGGCTCCCAATGGCAGGACTCCCAGTGGAACCACCTGGTGGTCATGGGGCAGTTGGGACAGCTCGGCGGCACCACAGAACAAGGATTACTCCGCTCCGCCTCCCTGGCTGGGAATGGAATACCTGAAGCTGTACACATCGAACATATCATCCTGGCAGAGCAGGACAGCCGATCGCAAGGAGGTTCGGGCGGGGCGAATTCCAGAGACTTTTCCAGTGGAGCTACAGGCCAAGTTCCAGGCTATACGGTCTGCGCTCGATCAGAGCGACTGCACGACGAAGCTGATCTCCCACCTCGAGCTTCTGGCCGGACAAAGGCCAAGAGACAAGGAGAGATAGGCGCATAATGAGGCGATGTTTGATTTCTCCACTAAGAAAGGAGAAAGCCAGACGGATTTCATAGCTCGCAGAGACAATCCGCTGGCCACGGCTGAGAAAATGGGGTTGGTGCTTCCCGGCTCCGTCAAAGCTAGGTACAATGAAGAAGGCGGTGGTTTAAGTGGACAGAATCGTGTGAACTTCCGTGCGATGCTCAACGGTCGCAGGGACTTCCAGTCGGTACGAACTGTGATCCTGGAGTTGGACGTTTCAGAAAAGCAGGTTCTTCCGAGGCCGCCGACGGTTCAGAGTTCCTCGAAGCCGACTTTCGTGGTCACAGAGGAGCCTGCCGAGGACGAAATCGAGCATGAGGACGAGACGTGCACTCCGTTCTTCGAGACAGAGTTCGAGGAGGACGAGCTTCACGCCATTGTGGTTTCGCTTGACTCTCAGGATCTGGCCGAGGATGAGATAGTGAACATGTTTGCCAAAGTGACTTCGGGCATTCGCCGGAGGACTTGGCAAGAAGCCAGGACCCAGACGACCAACAAAAAGGTTGGCCGAGACTTCTTTGATCGTCGTCGCGATCCAAAGAGAGCACACAAAGGGAAATAACTTCCGCAGAGTCAATCGAGAGGACTTCAAGCGTCGTTCCCGGTGCTCCAACTGCGGAGACAAAGGACAATGGAGAGAGGACTGCAAGAAGCCGATTAGGAGCAAGGGCGGCCGACTCAAGGAAAAAGGCGCTGTGGGAGCCTCGTACTGCTTCCATATCTCGTCGGACGCCGACCAGACAGGCTGTTCGTGGGCCAGCTTCGACGAGTTCCTGAACCTCGCCGAGCTTTCGAGTGTGGCGGTTCCCTTGCGTGACGAGATCCCCCTCGCTAACGTGGGCACCTTAGCATTGGCTGATACAGCCGCTGGACAAGCACTGGTGGGATCTCCAGATCTTGAGCGGATGGTCAGGGCCTTCAAGAAGCGCGGCTACAAGATCCATGTCAACAAGGGCGAGACCAACCTCCCGGCCGCGAACGGACTTGGTGGCAAGTCTACTCCGGTCGGCAAGGCTCTCGGCTCATTCTCTCTGATCGGATGCAGTATCATCGAGCTCTTGATTTGGGGTCACCCCTGCCCCCCACTGTTACCAGCGAGGTATCTTGATTTCGTTCACGCCGCAGTGGACTGGCAGCGGGGCGTTCTCTCAGTGGGAGGGAGAGAGCCGTGAGGATATTGCCATGATCAGATTTCCTTCGGGCCATCGTGCAGTGGACTTGATTGGATGCGATCCGTCTGATTTCGAGCTACGCCCCGACCTGGCGAAGTGTTTCCCATCCTTCAAGGACTCGAGCGTCGCGCATCTCGAAAAGCCAGTGGAGCTGGACGACTGCTGGTCTTCGCAGGGCGACATCCTTCGTCAACTACACGTGAATCCCCGAGAGACTTGGTTTGATATCGCAGAGTAGTCGGATCTGCCGATCTCCTCGCCTGACCTGCTCAGCCCGGCGACCGCGACCTGCTGGCTCCTAGACGACGAGGCCGGGCGGACCTGCGTCTACGAGAGGGCCGACGTCCACTCGTGCCAGCCGCCGGGCCGCTGGGTCGGGCACGCGGACTTCAGGGTGCGCGAGGACCGCGGCGGGGAGGTTAGGAGCAGGAGCAGTCAGGATCTTTCAGCGCCAGCCAGTTCTTTTCAGCCCCCCCCCCCCCGTCGAGTCCAGGCCTCAGATGGCCGGGCCAGGTCAGCGGGTCCGGGGCAGTCAGACATCCAGGTTCAGTGTTCCCGAGCCCCCCTCTGTAGCCCCCGGCTCGAGCCAGCAGCCCAGCAATCGCCCCAGCGCGCAGTCGGGCCAAGATGGCGGTGCAGAGGCCCCGGCCGAAGCGCGACGAAGCGCGACCGAGCTCGCGCCGCTCGGGCCCTCCACGCCCTCATGATGCGCGTGGACCACGTCGATCCGGAGTCGGGGCCTTCGACGGTCCAGGAGGGCGAGGACAGCGAGATGGACGCCAACATGCCTCCAGATTTCAGGGTCGACGGGGTGCTGAAGGCGGTCGACCTCGGGGAGGAGACGATGACCGACGCCGAGTTGGAGCTCTTCCTGGAGGGCCAGTTCATTCTGGCTCCCGCGGCGCGGGCGTGGAGGCGCTGGGCGATCAAGATGCCCATGGCGTTGCGGCTTGCCACGGGCCCCGGGCTTCTCTCGATGCTGGCCCCGCGGATCAGCGTGTTTCATCCAGACGTGAAGAAGGAGAAGGACAAGCCCAACCAGTACCTCTGCCCCACCTTCCAGCGTTTCATCGCCGTGGAGGCAACCAGCATGGGCACTGGGCCAGGTGCGCGAACTGCGACAAGCGCATCGACTTCGCGAAGAAGACCCCCGAGGAGATTGAGGAGACTCCTCGGCGCGCGCTGCTCAGGGAGGAGAAGTCTGTCATGGCGTGCATGCAGGAGATCAAGGACGAGATCAGCCCTGTCGAAGTGGCCCCTCCAGAGCCAGCGGCACCTTTGGCGCGCTGCTAGGCGCCTCCCACCACGAGGCCGTCGCCGACGGCTCGCAAGTCAGAACCGCCGGCCCCGGCGGCGCCTCCGGCCCAGGGTAGGGGCGGTCAGTCCAGCGGGGCTACCGAGAGCGGGGGGGGCAATTTGGACAAGTTTCGCTGGTTTCTGCTGGGGGACCGCCAGGAGTGGGCCAAGCAGACGCGAGTTGGCGCAGACACTGGCCGCGGCAGTGAACACGTCAGCCGGAGCGGCCAGCTCGAGCGGCGATTGAGTTCAGGACAGGATCGCGCGGGGAAGACATCCAGGTCGGCTTCAGCGGGTTCGAGGCGCAGCCTTGCGCCTCTAGACGCTGGCGTGGCAAGCCTGAACCAAGTGAGAACGGAAACATCATTTTCGTCGCGGCCATCCTTCTCCACTTCCTTTCCATTGGTGACCGACGGTCCCGAGCATCGAAGGGTCCTCGAAAGGTTTCCAACGTCTTCCGAGGGGCTCTGGATTGCCGGGAGCTTTTGGACCACTCTCCGGAGGGTCAAGGGTCTCCTGGGGTCCGGAAGCCCCGGGCGTCAGGAGGTCTTTGGGATCTGAATCTGGAGAGGCCCGTGAGCCCAGAAGAGGTCTCTCGTCGCGTCGGCTGGATGCAGCATCACGCTTCCCGTCGCGAGCAGAAGGCGCGGTTCACGTCATTGGACCTCAGAAGTTCTGGATATCCCTCCGATCCCCTCTTTCATGCCGGTCGGACCAAGCTGGTAAATGAGGTATCCGGGGAAACTTTGGTGGACGACCTGGCGGCGTCGCTTAGCGCCAGAGGCATTGCGAGGAGTCTCGAGCGGAGATTTAGGCCTTACGCGGTGGACGGGGGCGGGGGCAACAGCAGGGGGCATCGACGGCTCCCAAGGTCATCCCGAGGCCAAGGCGCGGGGCCTAGCTCTGGCTGAGGGCTTGGTTGGACCCGGAGTTCATCCAGAAGATGTGGGTCGGAGTCTGGCGGCGCAGGGCTGAGCAGACGTCTCGGGCTTAGCATCGCCCCACGACGGGCTCAACTGGGTCGTCATGGGGCTCGAGACGGACCTCATGCAGGAGCCCTATCCTTTGGTAAGTGTTCCTCGAGTGGTCCGATGTTAGACCCTCGGGCGCCTCGGGGGATCTGGCATTCGAAAGGGAAGGGCGCCGTCTCGAGGGCTTCTGGCCGCGGAGGCCAAGAGATGCGGTCATACTCTGCGCCTGGAGTCCCCCCCCCCCCCCCCCCAGGGCGTCGGAGGGGCTGGGCCGCGGGGGATTTGATTTCCCGTGAGCGATGCCGTCGATAAGGAAACGGGCTGGGATATGAGGCGCCTGGGAGATCGCAGAGCGCCGTGGCACCATGTAGAAAGGGAGAGGCCGCTGGTTGTTGTCATGTATCCTCCCTGCGTTCTCTTCAGCCAGGCCAGGGCCACTCGCGGCGCCGACCCTGTCGAGCAGACCAGGCTCGAATAGGAGGCTCTCCTGTGTATGTCGATATGTGCCCAGGTCGCTGAGTATCAAGTTGCCCGCGGAAGGGCGCTTTCCTTGGAACATCCCGAATCCTCCAGCAGCTGGGAACTGCATTCCGCAGGCAAGCTTCCCAGGTTACGGGGAGTGGGCACTGTTGTGGCTCAGCGCGCGTTTGGTTTGAACGCGGCCCCGGGGGCGCTGTCCAAAAAGCCCATCCGATTTCTCTCGAACAGTGCCCCTCTCTTGGCTTTGTGCGGCAAGCAGCGCAGCGGGGGGCATGGGCATCTCCCCCTGGTCGGCGGCGGGAGGACTCGCCCCGCTCAACGGTATCCACCGGCGCCGGTGGAGGCCACCGCCAAGGGAGTTGAGCTGAGCGCCGGGCCCCTCGAGAGCCAGCTCTAGTTTTCCTGTCTCAGTCGAGGGCGAGTCTCAGGTAGCTAACGCCGGTGCTATCTCGGTTGGTTCTGAGTTCGAGGGGGACGTTGAGGGACCTCCAGAGGTTCTGCTCGAGGATCAAGAAACCACTCCGACCAGACAGGAGGCCGAGTCTCATCCCGCGGCCCCGGGGCCCAAAGACCGTTCGTCCGGCGAACCTTCTCGATATTCAAAACGAGATTCACAAGTTTCACGTGAATTTGGGACATCCTCGCAAGTCAGAGTTTGTTCGAGCGCTCAGGGTCGCGCGAATGAATACGGAATATATCCGATGGGTTTCAGGAAAGTTGAGTGCCCCCAGTGCCACTCAGAATCAAGACCTCGCTGGCGCAGGCAGGCCCATCTCCCCCGGACTTACAGGTTCCACAATGTAGTGGCGATTGATGTTTTCATTGTTCCTGCCTTCGGCACCCAGGTCCCGATCCTTAACATCATAGAGCACGGCGCCAACCTCTAGATCTGCACAGTCTTTAAAACTGCCGCGGCTGATCAGGTTTGGCCTGCTTTCACGCGGTCGTGGGCGCGCCCCATTGGGCCGCCAGAGATCGCGATGACAGATGGAGGATCTGAATCCGAGCCAAAGTGATTCGAGGACTCGATGGGGTTAGGCATATGCCAGCACATATGCGGTGCCGAGAGCCCCTGGCAGAACAGGAGATGCGCGCGTCATGGCGGCCTCGCCAAGAAGGCCCTTTTTAAGGCCATGTCCTGCGTTTGTCCATGGGATCGAGAGGAGCTGGAGGATTTGCTGGCTCAAGCCATCGCCGCTTAAGAACCGTCATTCTCACCGAGGCGGCCATTCCCCTTACCAGTTGGTCTTCGGAGTGAGCCCGAGACTTCCTCACAGTTTGCTGTCCGGCGACGCCGTCGACGACGCGGGAGTTTTTGACCTCGCCCGAGGCGCTCGGGACGCGGGCGGACCTGCCGCCGCCTTTGCTCGCAAACATCGGTTCCGGGAGGAGGCCGGGAAGGCCGCGAGGGCCCTGGACGTTCGGGGTCGCCTCAAGAGGCCGAAGGCTCGCCACCATTCGGATCAGAAGTTCGTTCCAGGAACCTGGGTTTACGTCTGGCGTCGTCCGACTGGCCAGACCAGGTCCGCTCGACCCCGCTGGGCGGGCCCTGGAGCTGTAGTTCATCAACAGAACACCGCCGTGTTGGTGGCCATGCGCACTAGGCTTCTGAAGTGCAGCGTCGAGCAAATCCGCTCAGCCTCTCGCGACGAGGCCACGGGGGCTGAACTGTTGGACATGAATCGCGCGAAGTCACTGAGAGAGGCTGCTTAATCCCGGGGGCCGCATTTGAGTTTCTGACGTGGAGGCCGAGGGCCCCCCCCCCCGGCAGCATGGGATCAGAGCGCTGATCCAGCGCCAGTCCAGCATCCCAGTGTTCTCGAGGGATCTCCACAGCCGCCCGTTGTTATTTCCCTTCCTGCTGAAACGGGCGAGGCGCCTCGCGAGTCTCTCGAGGGGCCCGCTCGAGAGCCAGCGCCTCCGATTCAGGAAGAGGCGTCAACGCTTCCTCCCTCCGCTTCCCCAGACCACTCCACATCCGCCCCCCCCCCCTCCCCCACCCCCCCTGACCACTCAGGCGATGCCGCGGAAGTGCCCGCAGCACGAGTGTCGAGCGAGCCCAGAGCTCGAGCCGTTTCACAGGCCTTCGGGGAG